ACGAAACAAAAAAAAACAAAACACTGAATGCTCCCCTCCCATGCTTCACTCTGAATTTTAAAATAGGTTTGGAGAAGCTTGGGCAGGAGGCAGAGATTAAGCAAATAATCACTGTGTGGGAACACAAGCTTTCAAATTTACCAAGTGCACTGTGGAGCTAAAGAGATCCCATGTAGAGAAGTAATACAAATTAATTCAATAATGAGATGTTTTACTATTTACTTGGCTTATTTAATTCACTAGGGGAAGTATCTTAACTACCAGGTTCAGGGCTTTTAAAGAAGGTATCACTACAACAAAGGGAAATGAAGGAACCAAACCACAGAGTGTTTGTTCTTGGTCAGTTTTTGCTGTTTTGCTTTAAAAGACATTGTGGCTGCAAACTCAAGATCAAATGTAGTAAAATTTAAAATGGGGAAGAACCCTCTATACCCATATTTTACCCTCTATACCTATATTTTCAGTCTGTGCTTGCAGCTGCAAGACCTTTCATTTCTCAGAAAAAAATGTGTATAACCATTCAAACAGTCCCACCACTACTGGAAAGGACTTGCCAGAATACCAGATTATGTAGGCAAAAATTGCATGGAAGTTCTTAGACTAAAGAGGTGAATAAAATATTTGGAATTTGCATGAATTATTTCAGAATGTATAGTGTGAAGCTTCCTGTTCATGCAGTAAAACTCAATCCATTTCTAAACATTTCTGATTGAAGCAGGCTTAGTAAGAGGTTAAAACATGCAGGAGTAAAGTGATTACTGACTCTCCCTAAGGCAGTCGTTAAGTTCAGGATCAGTTAGCAACTGTGGTGAAGATTTTTATCTAGAAAAACAGGTAAATAAGGTCACTGCAAAACTTTGTGAAATCACAGTACCAAACGTGACAGAGCAACTATTGAGTCAAACAAAAAGCAGAGCAGAAAATAGCTATACGGAGAAAATAGCTATACGGAGAAAATAGCTATAATGTCTCTTGTTACTGCAGTAGGGAATACAAAGAAAATTAATTTTCTACAGACTATGTGGCCAGCAGAATGACTTTGAAAATGAAGAATACTTTGTCCTCTCCCAACACCTTACCCAGGAAAAACCATCCGGCACACACTGCCCTGATATTCTGACCTTCAGAGCATATTTCAACTTCAATTCTATTTTTAAATTAATTGCTGGGAAAAGGCATGAGTCACAACCCTGCTTGGATCCCCCTGCACTGGACACTCACCAAGGGCTGTGTTCATTCTGAGCTTTCCCAGGCCAGAGCAGGCTCCTGCTTTAGCACCTCAGAGTGAAGAACAAGGTTCAGCTCCCTCAGCCACCCAGCAATCCTGGCCTGTGTCCATCTTGATCTTCCCAATTTTGGCACAGCTGTTTGTTGCACTTCCCAATTTTGGCACAGCTGTTTGTTGCAAACACCAGGAAGCTCAGGGATGCTGCAAAGTGTTTCTGCCAGGAAGGGATCCCAGCTCAGCTGCTCATGGGCACCTTCCTTGTGCTCAGTGACTCTCATCTGCTGACAGTGAAGGTCAACAAAACCTAAAGAGAAGCCTCAGGGAAGCACAGGTGAGAAATGCAGGCTCTGCACCTACAGATAGATACAGCTGGAATTTGGAGGGTCCCACAGTCAGGCACCTGGTGAAACTCCCTGTTCCAGCACTTGGAAAAGGGGAAACTTGCAAGCAAGGAGGAACATGCCATACATGTGCTGATGGAGGTCAGCAGCCTGTGTGGTTCAGCTTTGTGCCCTCCCCAAACTGAGCAGCCAAATGATTATGTATGCAGTCACATTTTTGATTTCCCCTTCTTCCTGTGTCATCCAGTTCATTCCCTCTGGAGCAGGAGGCTGTTCCACACTCCTCTGGCACTGTGGATCTCAGAGGCAGTGAGGCCCATGCTGCTGACTCACCTACACAAACCCTCAGCAGTTTGATTGGGTCCAGGCTCTTCATTACAAAGAAGCCTTTTCAGACATCAGAAATAAATCATCTGCCTGGTTGCCTTTAATGAAAGCTCTGCTACACAGGAAAAAGGAGGAGGGAACATGAAACAATATCCATGGTGGAACAGCCAAGCCAGAAAAGAGGGATGTCTGAAGAACAGAATGAAAGACTTCAGAATTAAGTCAAGAAGAGAAACAATAAAGTATGGAAATGGAGCAGGAAGGTATAAACAGGAAAGTTACAAATGGAATGAAAGGCTGAAGTGACTTTTTTTGGTGAAAGGACAACCACACCTCATTAGCACAAAGAGGCAGTAACATATTCCCATGTCCCGCTTCCCGTGCAACAATCCCCGGTTATTTTAGTGGATTACAGCTGTAAGAGCAAAAGAAATCATTTCCACACAACTGGTGGGAACTTCAAAAGCAGCTAACAAGGCTGAAATCAATCTCTCTTCTCTTAAAAGTTTTACATAGCAAAGCTCTGTAACAACTGCCCCAAGTACTCTCTTAACAATGGTGAGGAGTTCACAACGAGCTGCTCAGGGCTATGATTCATTTGTGGCTCTCTGCCAGAAAAATAAATACATTCAAGACCAGTGGCCCCAAGGGGAGAGGTAGGCCACTCTTAAAAAGCACAAGATGAATGATTTACAGAGCAGAATCGAGTTTTCAGCCCATATGGATGAGGAGGAAGGACTTTTTTACATCTCCCAAAGATTTAGTGCACAGACTTGGACACTGGCAGTGCAACAACAGATGGAGGGAACCGGGAACTATCGAGCTGGGATTTGCAAAACTCACTCCAAAGAGCAAGAAATGACTTCTTATATTGCTGTACACAGAGTTCATAAAGCCAAACCAAGCCTTGCAGTGGGTATCCAGCAACACAAGCCAAACACAGGCAGCTCAAGTTCCAGGAAGTGCAGTAAAGTCCCACCTGTGCAGGGACAGAGGGATCCTCTGGCAGAGTGACAGTGACAAACAGCTCCGAGCTGGGCAGGGCCTGACCCACAGGCAGCTGCTGCACATAAAAAAAGTTAATTAGCTGCTAAACAGCCAGCAGTACTTCACTTTTTATTCCTCCTCCCCACAAGAACATTATTTCTGGGATAAATGGTCAGGCAGCAAGGTGCAGGATGGAGCCTGGGGTTCCACTGTGGGAGTGAGGCCAGCTCATCTCACACCAGACTGATTTGTCACTGCCCTCTAATGTTCTGAACCACCACTTCAGTGGCCAGCACCTTCAGAAACACCAAACCCCCTTCCTTTCAAGTGTATCTGTAACATTCAGAATATTCTCTTTAACGTTACTGCAAAGGGCTTTTACAAGAAAGCTGCTTTGAAATGCTAGCAACTGCATTTCATTATTAAAAAATTCCAGATTTACCTGGAAGTGGCTTAAATCCCCTAGTTCCATTTTTTATAATAAACACTTTACAAACTGGGACTTTGGCCTCTTACTAATAGGGCCAGAGAATGCCAGGGCCATACAAACATTCTTTGCCCCCATAAAAAGGTTGTAGCATCAGCAAAGGGACATTTGAGGGTATTTGTTTTACACATTCTATCACCAATGGATAATGCAAAGTGTGAGGAACCTGCCTCAGACCTTAGAAAGTTTCCCAATTATTTATTTCCTATTTCACAATAATTATTTCCCGAGTCTGGATTAAAATTTCAAATTCAAATACTTTTAAATAATCAATATTTAAAAGTTTCCCTGGGATTAAACCAAGTCCCTGTGATTGAGTCCTATTACATACAACAATGTATTTTCTATTTTCTGTCTTAAATTTATGCTCTGAACTTCTCCCTGGAAGCAATTACCAGACAACTTCATTGCAATAATTTCTTTTTTGAAGCAAGATCTCTAAATCAAATGTACCTTGAGAGATGGCCCTGATGATCACATAATACATAAGGAAAAAACCAAACATACTGATCAGGAAAGATACATTTTATTTCCTTTCTTTACCATTAAATTATTTGTATCATTGACATTTTCACAAGGAAAACAAAATCTTAGCTGAGTATATTTCTATAAAGGAAAATTTCCCAAATTAGCAAGCCCACCTGAGTCAGTGTGAAAAATATTCAATTTACAAAAGATCCTTCCAACTTATTGCACCAGACATGGATACTGCTAGCAATGCCCACTTTTTTTATTGCATGATTAATGTAACAACTCCAATTCTCTTTAGTTTAGCAAAGTTAAAGAGAGTTCAAGTTTCATCTTTGTGGGCAGTATTTTAAGGGGAAAAAAAAAAGATAATCAAAGAATTAACCAACCTGTGCTTTTGTTCATAATATTTCAAATTTTCAAGTGTTTAGATGGAATCTTCTGCCAAACAACAAATATTGCATAAATCTGCCCAAAGAGATCCCTGGAATTCTGATTTCCTTCCAACTCTGGCCCTTGTGACAATGCCCATGAATTGGGCACTTTTCATCTCAGCCTCACAAGAGGAACACACCATTTTATTATTATTATTAAATATCCTTATTTGTTAATATTATTAAATATCCCTATTAAAGGATGTGACACCTGCCAAGCTGCTCTTTTCCCTCTCCCCCAGTGAAAGTCACTGTGGCAGTTTTTGGGATTCAAGATGCCACAGGGAGCATCCTCAGAGGAATTCCAAGGATGAACCTGTTAGGGCAGGAATGTCAGAGGGCAGTTTCATATCTACTGAAAACTCAATGAATTATCCAGTTCTGTAAACCCCTCAAAGAACTACATTTGGGATACTGATCATTTTGAGACTCTGAGGGTACTTTGGGAAGTAAAGCTACCAACACATAGAAGATTAGTCACTTTGGGTTTTAATCCATCTTTTTTACTTAGAGTTCTTCAAAATACACAGGAAAATTCATTTCAGTATTTACAGAGTATAATTCCTTTGCCCTATTGCCAACAAACCTCCCAGTAAAAAAGTCCCTATTTCATTAAGAAAATTGGGCATGTAAATCATCAGAACAGACATCTTGAATACACTGTAACCTTCTCAAGTATGCAAAGTCACATCTGCAAAATATTTAGAGAAAAAGTACTATTTATTTACCCATACACAGTATGTAAAGACTCAAGATGTCTTCTTTAACCCTCCCTTTGTCATCTTAAATAATTTCTTCAAACTGTAAATAACAGATTTCTTTGCCCCTAAAAAAGAAGGAAAAAGAGAAAAAAGATCAACATTTAGCAAGGCTGACTCAGCGAGAAGGTGCTTAGTGCATTAAATGAAGGCTTTCCCTGGGGGAACGACAGCCTAATCCTGCAGGCAGACATGCAAATAACCTTTCTGTCACAGTCAGAACACAGTAAATAATGCCACCAAAAACACTTTTAATGCTATCAAAGCAGAGCATATAGTGCAGAATTCTTGTAAATACCAAGCCATGGCATACAATAAAGGCAGACATTTCAATTTTCAGAGGTCCAGCAGCAGTTGTTGCCTCCAAGCATTTATGAGTTTTAGATATGATGGACTAAGGATGACTCCCACAAAATTTGTAAAATTGATCCTTGGAGTTAAACAGTTTCTGAAGTTCTAGCAGAGATGAACCTTCTCTTACAGACCTAGAGCAAAAAACCCACAACCTTTTGCTGCGTTTAGACACAGAGTATTTGTAAATTTAAAAACAAAACACTCTTAGTCTTTGCATTTTAGGGGGGCTCTGAGATCCCAGCCAGTGCAGCTACTTGCTTTTCCTTTTTTGTTTTAAAAAAATCACCCCAAACCAAACAAATTAACCCAAAACAGAGTCACTGCTCAGATTACAGCACAGTCTAATCATACCCTTCGAAATTCAGAACTGAAAAGGCAACTTTTTAGTGCTGCAGAAAAAGCTCTAATTTTGACACATGCACAGATTAAAGGTGTACTAGATTACATTTACTACATTCTTTCCTATGTTTATTGAACTGAACACCTGACAAGACTAAAAATACACAAGGAATTTAGCCAAAAGTCACAGCTCAGAACACAAGGAACACAAGGAAAGATTTGCAACAAACAAGGATCGTCAACACAAGTTTAGCCATGTGCTGCACTGGATTTCCTAAATATTTTTGGGGGTGAGTGGGAGGGACATCATAATATCTGATTTGGAAAGACCTCAAAAAAAAAAATGGAAAGTGAAAGAAAGAAATCTATTAAAGATATAATATTTTAAGTGATAGATGCATTCAAATTCATGTTGCAAGAAGACAAATTAGTTGGCAGCAAGAAGGAAAAGTACACACTCATTTCTGAAGGAAAGTAGCAGAGTAAGAAAGCCTCTGATAACAAAGACTGCAGGAAATCAGGTCTGCACTTCTCATGTCTCCAACTGCAATTTAAATAAACTCGACTTCTCCTTTGGTAGGAGAGAATCTATACATGTATTTTGAATGGACAAACCCATGTGCATCCCATATGCAGGCTCCAAATTTTCCATCCTTACTAGGTTTTTGCAAAAGCAAGCACACTAATGAAGTCATGACAGGTTTTGCTTTGCAGCATCTCAAATAACATATAAATAACCATGTAAATCCTAAAGTGGCTGACAAATCTGCATGGAGATTGCACACAGAGCAACAAATCCTGCAGCAGCACAAAGCCAGGCTGAGCTTGGGGCACAGCACAAATGACAGAAGTTAAAATTACGGAAGTGTGGCTGGGAAAATGCCCAAACTGCAGGAGGCAGCCCCTCTGAGAGAGGAACTGCTGCCCTGCCATTCCAGTGAACTCCAGGTGCTTCTGGAAGTGCAGTGCAGCATGTGGCATATCCACTGCAGCACAGCTGCTGCAGGACTGCAGGGAATGGTGCAGGCACTGCA